AGCCTCGACTGCCGCTACCCCATGGGCAAGCGCTTCGCCAAGGGCGTCTGCCAGTGCAGGCTCAGCGCCCAGGTGTGCGGTAGCGACGGCCGGACCTACGACAACATCTGCCAGCTGAAGGCGGTGAGCCGCAAGGCGCTGCAGCACGGCCTGCCCGCTGTCGTCCAGGTCCAGAAGGGAGCCTGTGAATCGGGTAGGAGCATGGTGGGGCCTGCCCGTGGGGCGGAGGGCAGAGGGTGGACAGCTCGGTAAATCCCGGTTTTCAATGACTTGGGAAGACTGGGTAGCTTTAGGGTCAAGGCATCCTGCGTGGCTGTCAGCATTGCTGTGGTGTGGGGAAGGGGTACTTGGGTCCTTCCTGAATGGCAAATATCTTCCTTGTTGATCCTTAGTGTGGGCTAGAGGTTTGGGAAAGTTTCCTCTCAGTAGCATGCCTGTGGATGCCTTGGCATTGTGCGTGTCACTACTGCAGTGCTCCCAGGAGCAGGAGGTGAATGTGCTTGACAGCATGGATGGGAGTCCAGTGGAGGGCATTAGGCTGCCAGGGCAACGGTTACATCCTTGACCGTGACCACTTCTCAAGGCAGGATGTGCTGGCAGGGCAGCAGTACAGTGGTACCTGCCAGCACCATGTTTGTTTCATGATGCTGGCACTCACTGCTGAGGCATTTTGTGGCATCCCCCTTGCAGGCTTCACAGCAGATCCATCACACCATGGCTCACACAAAGCAGAGCAGGGACTTGGGAACACTTGTGCTTTGGAGCCTTCTCTGGTGGTGTATGGGAGGTTAGTTGTATTCACCTGCTAGGTACCTCTAGGCAGAAAATGCCTCTTAAAGTCAAACAAGGCAGAAAAAGCACAAAGTAGTATCTAAACCACCTGAAACATAGTCTTTTGCCTGTTTTGTTTTCTTTTCGTAAGAAGTTTTGTGGTCTTGTAGAGAATAAAGTGGGAATAAAAGACTGCGAACATCCTTTAGAGTTTAAAATACTGATACTCAACAGATTGAACAGTCTGCAGTAACGTACTAAGACCTTTGGTCAGATATTGTGATATGCTATGGCAACTTTAGGCTTGATGGTTTAAATTCAGAAAGTTTAGTAATCACTTGGTAATTTTATGATTTGTTTTTTTTAGTATTAAAGTAGCTCACTTTATGGAAGTGTTAATGCTGCTGCTAATGTCTTTTCACATACTTACTGGTATTTTAAGGGTTTCCTTCTGCTATCTTTCTCATAGTGTTCCTGGAAAGAAAAGTCATATGCCTAATGGAGTTTTAAATTATGCATTAGTGTTACCATTATGTCAGGTGAACCCATAATCATCCTGTTCATTCATAGACAGCAAACTTGCCAAAATTATTGGGAGGGTCAGAGTTGTAGCCTTTCTGTGAATTAGGATACCTTTCGTATATCACAGTCTTGAGAGAAGGTAAACTGTGGTGCAGAGAGGGAGGAGGTCAGATGGTATTCCTAGAGTTACTTTATGAGTATCTTGTCAGAGCCAAGGATTGCTTCGAATGCTGGCCTGGACCTGCAGTGATCAGTCTCTCAAGTATTTTGTAGCTATAAATTGCTGTTTGTCTGTTCCTTTTCACATCAGCAGCCATTAGCTTTAATACATGTAATACTTGGTTGGAACTGATCCACGTGAAATAATCAGAATGTTTAACCAAAATGAGTGAGCTAGGCTGCATCTAAGGGCTTACTGAGTGCTTGGGGTTTGGTATATATGACATTTTATTTAAGGAATCCTCCTGAATCTACAGTTAATAGGCTTAGGAATTTGGAGCTCTGATGTAGAGGTAACTTTTTTTTTCAAGCAACTCTGTTAGTGTTCGCTTTATTTTGGCTTTATTTTTCATCCCAGAAAACCTCAGCTTCTGGTTCTCTGTTAAGTTTAATTTTTGTATTCAATTCTACAGCTGCACAAACTGAAGCTCAGAGAAACCAAGTGTCTTGCCCAAGGTCAGACTGAGTTGGTGGTTGAGCCAGGAATAGAAATCACTTACGGTATTTTTATTTTTTTTAAACAATAACATGCAATGGCTGTAATGAGAGGTTTAGAAGAAAGTCGACAGTTTAAAATTACTGTCAAGTTTCTCTCTTCCCTGTTCTTGAAAGAAATCTGGCCTCAGATGACTCAAGAGTTTGAAGGGCTAAGCTAGTTACAAAGCAAAGCCAGTTTTACTTAACCATACCTACATTAAACAATCTGAGATAACTGTAGCCTTACACAGTGTGACTTAGGCCATTTTCAGAACGAACATGCAATGACATCTGAGGAGCAGCTTTTGAAATGTCTGCTCCTGTCTACTTCCAGTTGCTTAGTTTGATGCTAAGTTAGATTCTGGCTGTGATAAAACAAAATAGGCTGAGAAAATTTAGCTGTGTTTTCCTAGTGACAGAAGACTGGTGGATGAAGATGCATGAAAAAGGAGTAATAAAGGATGCAGAAAGGGAGGAAAGAGGTGCCCAGGATGACTGAGTGATAATTCCAAAACTGATAGAATTTAAAATGTTTTTTTCCTTGTTGAAGTCCTGGATTAGCTTGAAGAACACCATCCCAAATTGCAGGCTCTAGGTACACTGTACTAAAGGGGGCGTGTACTGCATGGAGATACAGGAACTCTGGCATTGATGTTCTTCAATATCTCTATGCCCTGAAAGCTGTTATTCATACAGTTAGCCGTATGCATCTGAGCAGACCCAAGGACTTCTCTGAGGTACTCATAGAACAGCCTGCAGAAGTCTTAGGCACATTCAAACTGTATGCTGCAAACACTTTCCTCTTCAACACTAAATACTTTGATCTATGGTGATTTTCTGAAGCAACTGGCTTTTTCCTGCCTTCTGTCAGCTACTGTGAGAAAGAAGCTATTAGTGGCTAGTGTGTGTCTAACAGCATAAACATTTATGCAAGACAACCTCTGTCATCGAAGACCAGTTCTTACAGAGCTCTGTTTCTCACTATAACAAATATAACAGTGCCACACGCAGATCCATTAAAGTGTCCTCACTCAACAGATTCACACTGTCACCTGTGATCTATGGCCAATTTATGTCAGACCTTTTGTTGCACAAAGGGCTGTTTATGATCTCTTCAGTACAACTTTTCTTAGTACAGTTAATAATTTCCTGCAGTGTTATTTTGATAAAGGTTTCTGTGAAGACAGTTCAGATGTTAAAAGATTTGTATTTTCTCACCTAGGATTTAAAAGGAAAAAAACTTTAATTTTTTTAAAAGTAAGGGTGCTATTTGTCAGGGCAACAAGGGAACCTAAAAGATTGATTAGACAACCTTTGAGGAAAGAAGTTCCAGAAAACAAGTACATTGGCTTTAATCCTTTGCAGGGTTCTGCCTGAGAATGTGTGTCCTCTGCACTGTTTAACTGAAGACACTTTCAGAAAGTGGTCATGATGTAAAGCCTCACCCGTGTCAGTCAAATACTTGCAAGAGATGAGCCTAAAAGTTAAGGTCTCTAAAATAAATGTTTGAAATATGGTTAATGCATGAGTAGAGTTGTTGCACACATTTCTATGTGGGGTGTTTGGAGTGTTCCTGTACCTAACCTTGAAGATACAGAGGAACAACTCAGGATATTATTACTTGCATTTCTGAGAAATTGGCCCAGTAAGAGATACTGAAGTCTTAAACTGGAATTATTGTCCATCAAAGCCTTACAGCTGCCTCCAGCTGTATTTAGGGAAATGCACTGCAAGGTATTGACTAAATACACAAACTCCAGTCACACTCCTTTGCTGATTGTTTTCCTCATGTCTGAGTTTGTTTTGCATTCCTTCAGGTGAGGATGAATGTTGTACAGTGTTTAGTATATAATTCAGAGTATAGCACTTCACTGTTTTGTACAGGATTGCTAACACGAAAGATGTTCTCGTTGCATTTCCTTATGAGAGTCACTTGGGAAGGAGGAATAACAAGCATCTGAAGTCAGCGAGGCGGTGAGGTGCCTGGAAGGCTTGTCTCTGGCCATTGTGATTGGTGCACTGCACAAGAAAGCCACTTTGGTGTTGGTTCACCAAATTGTTTTCATCTGTGCAGGGTAGACATCCATTGTACAAACAAGTTGCCTGAACCATAATGTGGCACTAAACTCACCAAGGCTTTATGGTCAGTGCACAGCTATGCAACTTGATCTTAATGCTGAATTCATCAGAAAAGCTGCCCATGAACCTATGTTTCCAGCAGATGTTTCTGTTTTTTAAGGAGAGATATTATAATCTTTTATTTGTCTTTCATTTCTTTCCATGAAAGCACAGTAGGGACAGTGTTTATCCCTGGTGATCAGATCTGCCAGGTTGCAGTCCTCCCTTAGACATAATAATTTTGCTGAACACACAGATCTTTTCTGAAGCTGGGTTTACAAGGGGACAAGGGATCAGCCTTGAAAGAATGAGTTTCCCAGGCTCACAAATTCTTAATGAATATAAAATTGTGGATTTTAATACAATGTATTGTCCTTAAGAAAGCACTGAATGTGATTTGATTTAATTCTTCAGGGTGTAAGTTGGCAAATACTCAGAAACATTCAGTCTTTTGCAAATACAAATTGATCTAGCTTTATTGTCTTCAGTGGGATTATGACGATTGTTTCTACTGATTTTTTTTTGCAGTTATTTTCATACTAGGTTAACTCTGCAAGTCTGGAGTTGTTCCTGATTTACAGTAGTGTTAATGAGATTGGGGTGAGTCCATTGGCTCTGCAAGAAAGTAAATAAAATGCTGTTAAATGAACTCATAGCCTGTAGATAACACTACTATTCAGGAAGAGTCTTAAGCTGGTAGTAAGGATACTCCTATCTGACAGGCACTTAGCTTTAGCCATCTGAGTCCAATGTAGTTGGAGCCCATAGAATTGGAAATGTAAGATCATATTTTATGAAACGGGCGGAACATCTTTAACTCCAGTTTATGCACTTACGTCCAGATTTGGATTTTGAGTGTTCTGTGAGAGGAGCTGTAGAGCTTCTGAAGATCTAATCACTTAACTGAAATGATAGGATAGGAGTTCAGATCTGCTGAAAATTTGGTTGATTTGTGGCTATGGAGCAGATAGGAAAAATCTAGTTCTTTTGATTAAGAAATTGTGTAGACAGCTAAAGACTCATATAGTATAAATTTGTTTTTATTTCAAGAACAATCTAGTTGCAACACCTTTGATACTTTGTTTATACAACAGATAGATAATTGGATTAAATTATGGCGTTTTGCCAAGATAAATTAGCTTTGATTAGTGTGAGATGATTTTGAACATGCAGTAATAACATGGAAAATAATGCATGTTATTGAGAGACCTTTGAAAAAATATGTGGCAAATCTCAGACGGTCAGTAGGTCAAAATACACAAAGCTGCTGTAAACACAGAGCTTTTACATACACAGTCCAGCAGAGGTCTGAGAGCTGCGTGAAACTGCAAGATAGCAGGAGTTTTGGGTGGGGGGAAAAGACACATGTTCAATTTTATGTTTTGGTAACAATAGTAGCAGCAGCTAGTGTGTACCAACTAATACAAATTAAAGTATAGATTGAAGGTCTGACAAAAAGCCCTGATTATCCTACTACAGTTACAATGCTTGTTTCCAGGGTGATCTTGTATAACTTAACAATGTTGGATGTCCGTTCCTTCTTCAGTTTCTCAGGCTGCAGTTTCTTCCTTTTACAGTATATTGTGAACTTCTGGTGAAAACCAAAAAAAAATTAATAAATATGCACTAAAATGTTATTAATAATAACCAAGATTTCAGTTCCCTTAAATAGGGCTGTTCAGCCTGGAGAAGAGAAGCTGTGTGGAGACCTCATAGCAGCCTTTCGATACAGAAGGGGGCCTACAAGGTTGCTGGGGAGGGACTCTTCATCAGGGACTGTAGCGATAGGACAAGGGTTAATGGGCTCAAACTAAAACAGGGGGAGTTCAGGTTAGACATAAGGAAGGAGTTCTTTACTGTGAGGGTGGTGAGGCGCTGGAACAGGTTGCCCAGAGGTGGTAAATGCTCCATCCCTGGCGGTGTTCAAGGCCAGGTTGGACAGAGCCTTGGGCAACATGGTCTAGTGTGAGGTGTTTCTGCTCATGGCAGGGGGTTGGAACTGATGATTTGAAGGTCCTTTCCAACCCAAACCATTCTATGATTCTGTGTGAGAGAGTAAATGTTAGTTTTCCATTAGATCAAATCAAATCCATAGTTTGAGTTCCTGGCATGTCATTTAATATGTTTGAAGGTTCTCATCAATCCCAGCGTGCAGAAAATTATTCAAGAGAGATCAGTTTCTATGAAGGCATCTCAACTTTGTAAGTCAGTGATCACCAGTATTTAGTCCCTCCACAGACAATAATAAAACCAGCTCATCTCTAGTGAGGCCAGGAGATCTTCAGCTACACCTTTCTTAAAAAGTCTACATGTCTGTTATTCTTGATCCTCCTTTGTTTGAGATTTCCCTTTAATATATAGTGCAGATTTGGATTCACCTTCAGGTTTGAGTATTCTTGTCTTCTGACCCCAACAAAGAGGTTCTGGACTTCTGCTCACACTGAGAAATGCCTTCACTATGCTATGGAAAGAAGACAAGCTTTGCTTTGGTTGTACAGTCTCCTCTCTGTATTGCTGCATTTTATTTTCTTCAGCTCTTTCCATGTTTACATTCATCTGCTACCTCTTCCAGACATTTTTCTCTCTGCCTACCCCAAATCTTACCTGGAAAGCCACTGCCACCCATGATGTTTCCATGGTGGCTAGTCAAGAGTCATGAGTTCTTTGGCAGGCGTCCTCCTCTGCTTTTGGCCATGTGCAACACTGTGGCATGGACAGAACAGCACTCAGCAGATGCAAAGGGATTTCGTTGCCCTGACTCACACAGAGCTATGCTGATTTACACCAACCAAAAACCTGCATTCACCATGCTTTCCCCCCCACCAATTCTATGCTAGTTCATCAGCTGAGGGTCTAGCCAATCTACCCATAGATCCATAGTCATTTCTGTTAAGATGAATGTGATAATGTTACATCCTGTCAGTGAACACTGCTGTGTATGCAAGCATTCAGTCATGTTAGTAGACTTCAAAGGATATACTGCTTGTGAACTGAAGGTGAAATAAATCTTCAGTGGCCCAATAAGCAAAATAAATAGCCGTAAATAGTATAAAAAATATACTGTGCTTACCTTTGACTGTCCTCTGTGATGCCTGCTTGTGGTGTCTCTTTTAAACTAAGTACCGAAATGAGCATATTCAATTGCTTAGATTCTGTTAGAGTGTGTGAGAATGTACATAAAAATAATAGACCAAATCTGGTCCTGCCATGTTGTTCCTTCTGTTTATACCATACCATATAAATTTAGCTTGCTAATGTAAGCATGTAAATCCCATGTCCAAGTAACAGGAAAAAGAACTCACAGACTTCTATGGAGAAATGCCTAATTATCTTGATCTGGTTTCTTCAATACTTTCTTCCGTGGTACCAGTGTTGGGTTCTTTCCTGTCTATGCTTCAGGTATTTTGGATACTGTGGTAATGTAAGGCCTTTCACTTTCTGACTTTGCAGGTCCTCTAACACTATTGTGAAAGCTTTCTGTGAGATTGTGGAGACTGTAACAACTAGTTTTCTGTCAACCACTATCTTACAAATTAATTCAAAGACTAGGTCAGAGACATCTTTTCTGTCAATAGGTTGGACATCGTTATGCTGTAATCTTTATATTTGTCCCAAGTAATTTACTAGTTAAGCAGTTTAATGGTCAGTAAAACACCTGTAGATAAGGATTGGTGAAAATGGTTTTTGAATTAAGAACTACCCAGAATTCCCAAATTCATGACAACTCTCTTAAACTTCTCTCTCTTCTTCTATGTATGTTTTCCTTTTGTGAGATGTCTCCTACCTATTTTCCTTTTGAAGACTTGGGTAAAGGGCAGCTGATGACTCATTACTATGTTATGTGATCTAGTAATAGGCAAGTCTTAAAAGCAGGTGTTGACTTGGTGTTCAAGACCTAGTGTGGAGTAAATTCATCCTTTAGCATGAGTTGAACTTAGGGCAAATCATGATAGCATAAAGCATTACTTCTGAAGAGTTGATATTGTTTAGAAATTAGAACTTGGCGCTTCTCCCTCTCGATGAATGGCAGAGAAAAGAATTGTATATCCTGGGTTAAAGTCTGCTGTTTCACCAGATTTGAAAAAAGCCAAAAATATTATTGCTATATCTGATTCCAACTTTTTTACTCCCTTCCCTAGCTCGCATACTTAATTTTAAAGCATCAGGCTGTGAACGTGAAAGATTGCTATTGCAGTGTGGTGATATGTCCCCTAGCATATGCTTAACATATGTGGTGATAAGTCCTCGTGTACTAGGGATTGCAGAAAGTATGACATTCTAGCACAAGCAGTACTATTACTTTGTGATATTGTGATGTTATAATCCAGGATGTTGTGACATTAGAAGCCAAGATGCTGTGGGCTTTTTTCCCTGCAGATGTAAGATCTTCATTCCACAGAATTATATTCAGTATTCATAAATGCTGTGCATCTGCACTGGCTTTCATCAGAACACTTAGTATTTAGTAATTTATTGCTATGCCTAGCTGCCTGTGACAGCTTAAATGGGAATTTTAAATACTTTTTAGGTCTTCATTTACAGTAGGTTTCTAACGTGCATTCTTTAAAAAAAAATCTGAACTCGGGTTCTAAATGCAGTTCCAAATGCTGCAGCTGTATTACTTGGCACTTGTTAGACCACATCTAGAATACTACATCCAGTTTTGGAACCTTCATTACAACAAAGGCACTGAAAAACTGGAGTGAGTTCAGAAGGTCACAATGATGGTTGGGGGGCGGGGGGGGGTGGACATATCTCTATGAGAAAAAGCTGAGGAAACTGGAGCAAAGAAAGCTTCAGGAGGACCTAAGAACAGCATTCCTGTACTTGTGAGGAAGTTATCAGGAGGATGGAGCCAGGCTCCTTACAGTGGAGGAGGAGACACCATGGGCATTAGCTGAAACATGAGTGCCAAAAAGAGAGGTTCAAGATAGATAGAAGAAAACCTTTTGCTTCATCAAGGATAGTGAAACAGTGGGATAGGTTGCTCAGAGAGTTTCTGGAGTTTCCATCCTTGGAGTTTTGCAAGTCCCAACTAGACAGACCCTTTGAGTATCCTCCTGTGCCTTTGTAGCAGACCCACCTTTGAGCAGAAGATTGGACTAGAGACCTCCTGAGGTCCCTTCCAACCTCACTTATCCTATGACCCTAGGCAATTTAGGTAATAATTAGTAGTTGACCTGGGAAAAACACTCCAGACAAGGCTTTTAGACTTTGAAGGAGGTCAAACAACTTATAGCCAAGTGGTGCTGATGTTTAATTTTATCAGGATTAAGCAAAATGCTGGATAAATTTTGAACAGTCTTAGTTACTTTGATTCCTTTTGCAGTACCTGTTTGGAAACTGTCCCAGTAGGAGAAACAGACCAATTCAAAGCATACTTATTTCACCTACTTGGTAAAAAAGGGTATTGTCTTATTAACATATCCAATTCTTTCTGCTAGTATAGGTCACCTACAGTCCAGCAGCCCAAGATACAAATTCAACTTCATAGCAGATGTGGTGGAAAAGATTGCACCTGCAGTTGTGCACATTGAACTTTTCCTCAGGTAACCTTTTCAATTCTTTGTATTTTACTTGCATCGCCTAACAAAAGACTTTCCAGTGTAGTAACTTTCATTTGAATTTTTGAAGTTCACACAATACTCTGAAACATTACAGCAGACTAGTTTATCCAGAGAACCATGAATTTGCATGTTTTGTTCCTGTTTAATACGTCTATTTTATTTGGCTTACAGTATTTCCAGTACGCACTGTGTGCCCTAAAATAAGTCCATGTCATCTTTGAAGGTCTCTTCAGCCTTCACTAAAATGTATTGCTTCTTGGATTATGTTTATTATCTCAGTTTAAAGAAATCAAGTCCTGAAAGTAGGGTGGGAAAACATAGGTCCTTGGTGCTTATTCTGCTTTCAATGAGAGGTGATTTTATTTTGACAGGGAGAACATTAAGAGGTATCATGTTGACCTGATGTAACCTGTCTAAACACAGAAATGATTTCTGATAGGAAAAAAAATGTAGTAAAGTTGCTGACCAAAGCATACCAATATAAAGTGTACTGAAGCTGGAGCTGAGCCAGCAAGTTTAACATGGAGTATTCAAAACAACCTGGGAGGCAGGTTTAACACTGAGTGCTCAAACTAACCTGCTGTCAGAACAAATTACTGCAAATATTATTTGTACTCCATTACCTGAATACCTTTCTGCTTAAAGTACTCTAATTTTGCATAGACTTAAGAACTTGGAGAATTTTTATAGGCTTTTTTTAACATTCAAAATGGAAATAGTCAGGTTTTCTGAGACATATCTTTATGCACAGTGATTGTTTTTTTGAGAGAGTGCTACCATTGAAGATGTTTTATATCTTTGCATATGTAGTTAAGATTGTTTTTCCCTATAAGTAATGTTTGTTCAGCAGCCAGCTGGGTGCTAATTGTGGTACTGCCTTCTGCCTGGGATTGGCTCCAATTCTTTACTGCTGTATAGCCCAGAACTTTCAAACAATTTCCTAATAAGGACCATATCTCAGAGGAAAGAAGAATTTGTGGACCTTTTCTCATCTTCTACTGCCCAGGCTCTTTCTGTTCATCTAACAAATCTAAGGTCATTGCAGCAGTTGTTCACAGAGAAAAGTCATCATACTTTAAACAGTTTATAAAGTCTTTCCACTGTCTGTATTGCAGCAAATGTTGTTTCCCACTAAGTTTTACCCATTGTTAGTGTTCTTCATTTCTTTTCATTCACATTCGCAGTCCTTCCAGTTTCCAGGTATGCTTTTTCCTGCCAATGTACACTTGGACCTCATGATTCCATGAGACATCACCTCTTCCTTTACTCCTTTGTCCAGCTGCAAGGTTCCTTCTTCTTCCCTTTTTCCCATTAGACTATCAGTCCATTTGTCAGCCCTACTGTTTCCTGTCATTATTTTCTTCCCATATAGAAGCAGCAGCCGGTGGGATCAGATGGGCTTCTCCACCTTCCCTTTTTGTCACCTAGCCTCTTTGCAAGGAAATGCATGAAGGTAGAATTGGAAAACAAAGGAAAAAGACTTTTCAGGTTGTCTGAAAACCTTGTTTCCTATCTTTCTGTCTTCCTGGCTGACTAAAAGCAGTCACAGTTTTCAGCAAAGAACTCTCTCATTTTTTTTAAACTTAATTTTGTAAGGGTTGCTACATTGGTCATCAAATGAATTGTTATTTCTCAGGGTGAAAGGTGGTAAATGGTATCTAATGTTATCTGCTAAGATATGCTTCCCTTATGAGTTGTAATTACTTGCTTTTTGTACAGGCACCCTCTCTTTGGGCGAAATGTCCCACTTTCCAGTGGATCTGGTTTTATTATGTCTGATTCTGGTTTAATTGTGACCAATGCGCACGTGGTGTCAAGCACCAATGCTGTATCAGGGAGACAACAATTGAAAGTACAGCTACAGAATGGAGATACCTATGAAGCAACCATTAGAGATATTGACAAGAAATCTGACATTGCAACAATAAAGATTCACCCTAAGGTGAGTGGCATAAACAGATTAACGAATTAATTTGGGAATCCTATTTCAGTTTCATTTAGTACAGAGTGATTGGCTGGAATATGTGTTTAGGGATTCCTTGGAAATGTATCTGGGGAAAACAACATACTGAAATACAGGCCTGCAAATTTTTCATATTTTAGAATGAAATGACATTGTCTTCTGTGCTGGGAACTGCTAAAAATTAAGGTAAAAAAGTGCAGCTCAGTTAATACGTGCCCAGATTCTTTACCTGACAACCTGGGCTATTTTGACTAATCTTTCTAGCTTTATGCCAGTACATGAACTTCAAGGTGGTATGTAGCGTAGAGAGTATGGCCAGCTAGTTTGTATGTTTCTAGGAGGAGGAGGGAACAATCTGCTGGAAAACAGGGAAATCTGTTTCAGAATCTTGCTGGCTTTTTATTTCTGAATGAAATTGCCAGGTAATGTTGCTAGCAGTTTGTTTCTGAAGACAGTGTACTAATTTTACATGGCATAAGTTTTGGCTATATGGTAGTGAGTGGGTCTTTCGTCAGTGTAATGGATGCTCCTAACGTCTTGCTAGTTTTTGATATTTCCAATCAGATTATTTTCAGGTATAAACTAATGCTTATTTCTTTCTTTCTGTTTTTATTTAAGAAAAAACTACCAGTATTGTTACTGGGACACTCTGCTGATCTGAGGCCAGGAGAATTTGTGGTGGCGATTGGAAGTCCGTTTGCCTTACAGAACACTGTGACAACAGGTATTGTCAGCACTGCTCAGCGAGATGGCAAAGAACTTGGCCTGCGGGACTCAGATATGGATTATGTTCAGACAGATGCTATTATCAATGTAAGTACTAGGTATCTAAGGAACTTAGTTTCACAGTCCTGGGACCTTCAAACCCCCACCTTCAGCAGGGAAGTGTGTGCTCTAAAAGATGAATCCACTAAATAAAAGCAGCTTTGTTTAAAACCAGTAATATGCTTTTCTTTTTCTAAAAGACTATGCAGTGTCTCTAAGTTGCATTCAGGCATTAGTGTTGTGAAATGTCTGATAAATAAAACTACCCTCTTTGAGGTTGTCTATGAAGATGTTACATATAACAGACCCTTCTTATTCTCTAGATCTCATGCAGTAACACATGGTTTTATAGACCAGCTGTAAATCAACATATTTCTCTCTACTTGTTCAGCTGATCTGGCCAAGCAAGCTGTAGAATACAGCCAAAGTTTCTTTCATCTTCATGCATTAGAATCAAATGGAGTAGTCTGATAATATCTGCTTCAGTTAATAACATGAGACCCAAGTAAGAACTTCAGGAGAGGGCTGTGTTTCTGTTGTTCTTGTTTTCCCATTGCACATCACATACTCCAAGTAAGAATCTAGACGTAAAATAACACAGTTTGAGATACAGTTTGGACTTGAGGGTCCTAGCATTGCATGTTATATAGAAATACATAACAATAATGTCCCTTCAGAGCAGCTTGGAGAGATCCAGAGAGCTTAAGTAAAGTCCTTGAGTGTGCATATAACTTGTACTGATTTTAAAAAGACTACTGCATGCATATCTGAGGTAGAAAATGACCTGAAATTTTATGGCTTAAGTCTGTTGCACATTGAAAAGAAAATATTTTCAGGATTTATTTGCTGGACCTCGATGTCAAATTTGATGTAACAAGTCATAACACTTAGTGTTTTACACGTGTGAAGTGCTTCACGAATGTTTATTGTCACAGGCTTGTCAAGAGAAGTTGTGTGGAGAAAAAGAGGGTGCTAAGGTATGACATGAAAGTGAGCTTTTCCAAAAAGCTTCTACCTGATCCAGGAGCTGAACTTCTGAAGACAGTTAATTGAAATTACTCTCTCCAGTTGTGTAAGGAGAACAGGAAAACTTTTGCAAAATGAGTTACTTGGGAGCACACACTGAATTTGTGGCAGAGACAGAATTAGAACATGGGATTCTTGACTTCACGCCTATACACATTCCTCAAGATCAGACTCTTTTCTTGTGTATACTTAGGCATTCGCTGCCCTCAAAAGCTAATGAGCAAGTTTAGACAAAGGATAGCTGAGTCTGTGTGAATAGTGACAGCAAAAGGAGGTAAGGCAAATGACAATATATTTGAATTGCTTTGCCATCTTAGACCACAAGATGTGAAGATAGTCCCTGGTGTAGAGATGCTTTGTGCTTAGCTAATGTACTAGTTTTCTCCTGAGAATGGGAGGAGTTTGAGAGCTGGTCTATTCAGAGCATTCCTGTGGCTCGGCCAAGACTTTCCTGCAGGAATGTGCATGCAGCTGCCTTCTGAGAAACGCTGGGACAGCAGCAACATGGGGCAGGAGAAAACAGAGCCATAGCTCCTAAATGGAGCTATATTACATGTGACAAAGTTCTTTCATTATCACATCGTGCAAGCAGAGGACAAGTGAAGGAAAGATAACATGCTAAGGAAGGCTGAAAAATCACTAGCTGTGTTCTTTTGTGTCAGTCAGACATAAAAATCAAGTCTGTCGCCTCTGCTCACTGAACAGATACAATGTAAGAAACTGATCTCTGTTTAAACTCAAACTTTAAAGCTGTTTTAAAAACTTTAACGTCTGCTTTATTCTGAAAATTTATAAGGTTTGCGCAGTGCTATCTAAGTATAAACAGTTTATATGGTTCATGTTGCTCTCATGCATCACTAGCTTTTGTTCCTTTTGAGTGGTAAGTTGCTGCTTTTGGCTGTTCAGTAGACCTACTTGAAAACTCAAAAACAAACTCGAGACAAGGAACTTCTCCAGTTCATTTCCTGTAGTCCTCTTGGATGTGTCCGTTGAAGGCCATTAGGTATTAGGCAACTTTGAGCTGCTCAGAGCTGCTAAATGCCCTCCCTAGAGAGGGCTGCATGCCTGTGGTTACTAAATCAATCCTTACGTAGTATCTACCTCATAGTAATATGCTGTGATTAAATATGTAAAGCACTGTGTTCTTTTCCAGTGTTCCATTCATTCCAGAGGATGAGAGACTGATCATGTTACAAACCAAAGTGATGCATAAAACTACTTAACTGTATATCGTTCTGATGGTCTTTAGAAGAATAGAAATACTTGTTTTAACTATTAAGGTTTCTTCTTAAACTTAGGGTCTAACTATTTGGAGTGGTAAGTTGCTGCTCCTAACTTAAGGCCTGTTTGTGAAAAGGAAAAAAAAATCTAATCATAAGAGGTGTGAATTGGTAGGGTAATCATCTGTGGTTAATATTGGGTCCTTCTGTGCTGCCTAGGAAATAACCTACTCTTTTTCATTTACTTATTAAAAAAAAAAAGTGTAAAGTGAAAATTGCATTTCCTACAGTGAAGCACCAATTTATTGTTCCCTTATGTCATTTTTACAGTACGGCAACTCTGGAGGACCTCTGGTTAATCTGGTAAGTCCAGATGACTTGATTCTTCTGTTTTGTTTCAAGAGCTAGTTTGGAGTAAGTTGGAGAATATTGAAAAGATTCGTAGGTCATACCAGCTTTCATTCATTCAAGCTAATGGTAGGCAGATACACTGAAGCCAATACAAACTATGCAGATTTGGTTCATACACCATTGGAAACATTTCCCCATAGAGCAGAGGAAATTTTACACAGCAGTAAGAAAAATGGTATCTGGTAGGAACAGTCATACTTGTTCTTCCTATGAAACCTGGGATGCACAGCAAAGATGGGACCTGGTTAATCTGCACTACTGATTTTAAAATAGATTGCTTTAAACCAGTACTGATTTTGCAGGTTGGAGAATTATGGCTGTAGTGGTTACAGTGACTCCACTGCCTGCTCAGTGCAGGGAATCTGTTGCCGAGTGGTGGGATGGACCTTGGATGAACAAACTGTACTGTAATCTCTCTGGCTAGCACAGTTAAATGTGAAAGGGATTGTGAATCAGAGCCCAGATCCTCCCTTACAACTGTTTATTTCTGGAGTGATTACAACACTAAAATTTCTTAAACCAGCTTTTAACATGAAATGCTAGGCAGTGAGATGAACCCTGTCCCTTGGAACTGAATTAATAGGGTGCTGTCTCTCAACAGGATGGTGAAGTGATTGGGATTAACACCTTGAAGGTCACAGCTGGGATTTCTTTTGCTATTCCTTCAGACCGCATCACTCAGTTTCTCACAGAGTCACATGACAAACAAAGTAAAGGTAAGGTCTGCAAGAAACAGTGACATTTTGCAATTATTGTCCTGATCTGTCATTAATGTGCCAAACAACACAGGTCTGGGATCCTATTACTGAAAGGAGCAGCAGTATTTTACAGTATAGAACACCACAGACTTGGAAATAGGTAACAACTTCACGGAAGTGGGAGAGACATTTCATTACTCAAACTCCCAGAAAGTATCTGCATAAATCTGAGAAAAAGAACTTCTGAGGATAGTGAGGACACAGATGAGCCATTACAGTCTCAAATGATCTTGAGAACACATGGTGACCTGTTCAAGGAGTCTTATCCTCCTCTTTCACATATTGTCCAAGCAAAAAGGAGATTAAGGTGTACTGTGGAGGAAGAGGTAAGAAATTTTTAAAACAGTTGTCCACAGATGGAGCGTGTTGTGTGCACATCATCAATGGATGATCTTTATTTTGCCATGGTCATCTGTGTCAGTGCTATATCATAGAATCATATAATGATTTGGGTTGGAAAGGACCTTAAGATCATCTAGTTCCAACCCCCCTGCCATGAGCACTAAACCATGTTGCCCAAGGCTCTGTCCAACCTGGCTTTGAACACCACCAGGGTTGGAGCATTCACAGCTTCCTTGGGCAACCCATTCCAGTGCCTCACCACCCTCACTGTAAAGAACTTCTTCCTCATATCTAATGTAAACTTCCCCTGTTTAAGTTTGAAGCCATTACCCCTTGTCCTACCACTACAGTCTACGGTCCCTAATGAAGAGTCCCTCCCCAGCATCCTTGTAGGCCCCCTTCAGATACTGGAAGGCTGCTATGAGGTCTCCACATAGCCTTCTCTTCTCCAGGCTGAATAACCCCAATTTTCTCAGCCTGTCTATATAACTGGATATTGTGATACACTTTCAGACCCTGGTGGAAGAAGAGCTGTGTACCAATTCCTGAAGAAATAGATTGGGAGGAGGGGGGAGAGGCAGAAAAAAAGAAAGTCCTCTGTACCCAAGAGCATGTAAATCTAAATATACTGACAACTGCAGTACCCTGGACTTTCTTATATGCTTGCCTTGCACCTGTCGCACTGTACTAGGTGTCATTCTACATGCTGCACAGCCAAAGCTGATCTAGTAATGCTTCAGCCAGATCAAACCTTCCTTTCTCTCTTGCTTGCCAGTTTATCTGTCCACACCCTACTTGTCTTTTATCATGACTGTTGGCTGCTGCTTCTCTTGAATCTTTCTGGTATTAATCTTGTCTTCTGAGTTTATCCAGTTGCTGATGCCAACACCATTGTCCTCTCACTGTTCTCTCAGATGCTGTTATTTCAGAGACTTCCCTTAGTCTTAGGTTTTAAAGTTACACATCTGCTTGTATATTTGAGACCCTCACAATTCTGAGGGGTCCCTTCATCTGTGTTCTGCTGTATTCACCAAATTAGATAGTTTTCACGTGTTGATTGGGGCTGGAGGTGATCTTGATGAAAAAAAGTTGTTAATTATGTGCTGAAAAGTACATTTCAAAGTAGCTGGCATAATATCTTTTCAGCCAACAAGTCAAAAAACCTATTTACTCACCCGTGTTACTCTTGGCTTTTGAGAGAAGCAGTTCTATATCACTGTTACCCTTCAGAACCAAAGTGCTCATCTCAAAACAGGGAGGAGCAATGGCTCTCTTGGCATGTATGCCTCTAGAGGCATGAATGCAAGCCTTGTGCAGAAAGCCCACCATCTGTCAGTGGGTTCCTGGTAACGAGTGTTGAACACTCACTGAAGGCTGGAGGTGCCACCACTTGCTCCTTCGGCACCTTTGCCTTCAGGGAATGATGAACCCACTGAGCCCAGCTAGATGGCCTAGAGATAACTTTACCTATGGAACCCTAAGAAAAAACATTTTTGTATTTTTAAATTTTATTTTGTTTTTGCTTGTCAGAAGTACCTCCTGTACTTTTGCTGTGAGCTGAAGAACAGCAGTTTAAAGCCCTTGATACATAGACAAGATGTTGCTAGGAGGTATTTTCACCATATTTGAGAATTAGTTTGCATTCTTTAGGCCTTTAGTAATAGTTGTCAGGTTTGGTGTATAGGCATTATTTCTAGACATAAGGAATTTATGGAAGCAGAATTCTTGGGATGTTTTTATCGTGTTTTCTTTTGCTCCAATTATGTTTCAGTAGTTTCAGTGGGATCCGCCCTTATGGTACAATTAGGTCATGGAAATAAGTTTAAATGTATTAGCATTTTGCTCTAAGTGTCATATTGCCTGAAGATGATAAAATTCCCTTAGGAAATGGCTCTTTCCACATACACTCTGGCATATGGGAGATACTGTGAACATTGCTTAACAAGCTTGACTTCAGTCTTTTAGGTCTCAGTTGATCAGAGAACTGTCAGTTTTATATGGAAGTCCCATCCATTATATATAACTGCGAATGTATGATCCACTGCACTACAGGAGCTGAGAGGAGGAAAAAAGGAGAGGATGGCATTTGAATGAAGAATTTGCACATATATTATTAACTAAACATTCTATATTACCTAATGCCTGGGTAATACATAATCATAGCTAATATAGTTTTGACCAAAGATTTACCACACTCTGCACAGAAATATTTTTCTGTTGAATGTCCTGAAAGCTTTTGCTAATTTTGGATTTATCAGTAATGATGTTAACCACCTTTTAGAATTAAGAATTCCTAAACTGGTGCATCAAGCTAAGTGTTTCCATCTTTATCTCAGTTTTAACAATGTTACCGTCTATATCTCAGTTTTAACAATCTTTGTGGTCTGTCATTACCTCTGGAAGTCATCTATATACTTAAACATTGACTGATTTTTTTACTTCTGTGTCTTTGTTAGTATCCAGTAGGAATTCCTCAGTTTCAGTCTTGGCTCTGCCATCTATTCCTAGTTTAGACTTGAGCAGAACAGCGAAGCTAGAAAGTGTTCAAATATGTATCCTCTAGAATGGAAGACAGTAAGTTATCAATTTGACAAAATACTAAAGAGAAGATCCAGCCTAAGGGGTCAGCCCGACCTCTCATGTAATGTTAACAGAAAAGTGAATAAACCTGGTTTCAGATGGGCAGGGAGAAGTGGGGGTGTTCTGCACTGACCACTTCCAGCAAGTCATTTATATGAATCCTCATTTACATCCCCAGAATGCTTTATTAATTGTGTTGAAACTATATGCTTACCTATGTATTTGTATGGTTATTACTGATAATTAATACCAATAGTCATGAAGGCTGCTTAGGAGGCTTCTGGGTGTAGATTCATACTACTGATTAAGTTCAGCAGTGCAGTTTATATGGAAGATACACTGCATATAGTACAGCATTGTAGACTTGAGCTGTTTTCATGGTTTCTCTTGGCAGTGGAATATCTTTCTTGAATGTTTTCAGGACTGCTCATGTAATTTGCAAGATTAATTAAGTGCAGAAGGAGCGAGCAGAGAAGGAGTTTTGCTTGCTGCTTGAATAAAAAGTGCAGGATTCGCTCCTTCCCTTGGAGATCTTGGTGATACCATGGCCCACTGCAGTCAACTGCAATGGGGATACTCATGTGCCAGTTACTCATGTCTCTAAGAGTCTTGAGTACCTGACCCCTTAATTTGGACTTATTTCTTTTTGCCACATTTTATAAGTCATAAATACTTGTGCCTTCAGCCTGTGTTCTCTCTCTGTTTAATATCTCTACTGTTACAAGTTTCAGTAAAAACCAGAAAAGTTTAACACCAAAGCAAATGCTTTCCTTGTGGAACAGAAATCTCCATAAATAGAGAACTGCTTCTAGAGACTCGGGGTCAGCTGCTTGTGACTTTCTGTTAACACAAAACAGATTCAAGTTTAAGCTAACGGTTGAGGCTGGTTTGCTTGTCTTTGTACCACTGGAATCAGTGTTTAATTTGGCATGGTGTTTTCAAAAATGAAATGTGATTTGAGTTTCTCTTTGCTGCTCTGTGCTCCAGCTTTAAGCCAAAATGGTTTCATGTTTGTTCAACCTGATTGTTCCAACATACTGACCTTCTTTACTACTGGGGCTTCACCCTGGTGACATGCTGCTTAGATTTATTACCTCGCTTTATTCCAGTTCTCCTAATAATTTTTTCTTCTGCCTTGTGATTGCACAAATTGCCAGAATGACAGGTTTTGAGACCTTTTTTATTCACAGAGCAGATGTAACATGGCAGTGGTAGTTCCAGGTGCCACATACTGTTCTGCCAATGTGACTTAACCCCAACATCAAAAGGCCTATCCTTTGGGGGTGATAAAACACTACAGCTGGTGCATTAGAACTATCAGCAAGAACGCTGCTGATAGTTCTAATAAACTGGCCAACTATATTTCTCTCTAATCATTGTTGATGAAAAGTTTGGGGTTTGTGCAAGATGTTTGACTTATGTTAAATTGGATAAAATGGACTTTTGCTAAACAAGGGGCCTGGAGGGTTTTTGCCTGTATTCTGATGTATGAAATGGCTAGAGGGTGGGAGGAGGGGAATCTAGACCCTGCTGCTAAAATAATCCATAGCTCATAAGTATTAGTTTGACTTTACAAATAGCCCGTTCGTACTGTTGTATTATGAACTGCTATATGCAGTATGGCAAACTTACTGTGGAGAGAGGGCTGAAGGCCATTTTGAATTTTAATGCCTGAACAGGAGTGAAATAATACCCCAACCTGCCCAAAGATGAAGGTAGAATGAGACTTTTAGTTGTGAATAAGTTTGTGGTTACTGGATTTTTCCCCCCATATCCTTATTCTTTTATGTATCATTAGCCACTGGGTCTGTCCTCTCTCTGTCTCATGAAGACAACTTCATAATTTGAACTGTCTACATTGCAGGGGGGTATTTTCAGGTGGGACAATTTTCATGTTTGGGTATTTTTAAAAAGTGAAAACTTAGATTTATGCCATGTAGAGAAACATTATGATGCACTAGTTCATAGCCATGCCCAAAGCTTTTGAGACTTTTGAGCAAATGGACTTCTTCATGACACTCAGCTGATTCTGATCTCATTAGTTTCACATTAAAATAGAGGAGAGCCAGAATGTTCTAGGGAAAAGCAAGGCTGACAGTTAAGATGTCAGGTTCTTCGTAGTGTAGTAAATCCAATGTTTAGTCATCAACATTTTCACTGATGCTAATGGGAATAGTGGACATGTGTAAGATTCAGGACTAATTCCTTTACTTGGGACTGTTTTTCTTGGAAAAAAACAAGAGTTAAAGGAGACCATCTTCTTTTCAAACTTTTTCCTCACATGAGAACATGGAGAAGCTCAAAGAAATTGTGAAGTAGTTACACTGGAACAAGTAAGGGGAAATACTGTTTCATACCAGATATAGCTAACTACTGAAGCGCTCATTTCAGGAAGTCCTCAAACTGTGTTTTTCCTAAGACAGATGTGCAATATCATGACTACTAAAAGCCACTACAGAAATGTGCTGTCCCTAAAGGAGTGACTTTTCACCATTTAAAATTCTGTAGGTCTGGCTAATCATAGAGTAGTTTGGGTAGGAAGGGATCTTTTAAGGGTCGTCTAGTCCAACCCCCCTGCAATGAGCAGGGACATCTTCCACTAGACTTCCAATCTGACCTTGAATGTTTCCGGGGACGGGGCATCTACCACCTCCCTGGGCAACCTATGCCACTGTTTCACCACCCTCATTGTAAAGAATTTCTCCTTAAATCTAGTCTGAATCTACCCTCTTTTAGTTTAAAACCATTACCTGTCCTCCTATTGCAGTAGGACCTACTAAAAGCTTGTCCCCATCTTTACTGTAGGCCCCTTCTATGTATTGAAAGTCTGCAATAAGGTTTTCGTGAAGCCTTCTTTTCTCCAGGCTGAACAACCCCAACTCTCTCAGGCTTACTTCATAGGAGAAAAAAGGTCTATGTTTGGGTTTATGTGGGGTGGGTTTGTTTTTTGTTTTCTAAACTTGCTTTTTCATTCTTTGGGGTAGAAATAACAAGACATTTGCATTAGAATCAGCGTGAGTCTTTTGGTTATCCTGGTTGAAACTTTAATTTCTTTAAATCCCATTTCTACATTTTAATGAGAACAACTTCTGATTAAATTGTCTTGACCAATTTCAGGTGAAATGGTAGTTCATCATGAATTTTTTCATTTACTGAAGTCATGTGATAATAGATTACAGAAATTTTCCTGAATTTCCTGAAGGACAACTCTTATAGAGTGTAAATGAGCTTCTCTCTTACCCTCACTTGCAGGGAGAAGAATTGTCATTGTGTACACCAAGGCTAACCAAAATAAAAAATTACCTCAATGTAGATGTGTATGGTTTCTGTTTAATTTTGTTGAGAGCTGATACATCCTGTTTTAATTGACAGGTATTTTGGGTCATCAAAGTAGTTATTTTTGTCAGTGTTTGCCTAAGTTTCATAAATATCCTCTGTTACTTTCAGATGGGAAGAAACGTTTCATTGGCATCAGAATGCTGACAATAACACCTGCGTAAGTATTACAGAAAGGTAATTTTATGATGATGCATACAAGTAGTTGTTCAGAACTTCATTCAGTTGTCATTCGAAATCTCCAGAGGATCCAGAAGTGTGCATTAGCTTCTATGAAGTCTGCAAACATTTTAATGAGTGGTGAAATACATATTCTGGGTCCTGGAAATTCTCTGAATACTGATAATGGTGGATGCTCTTTTGATAGCTTAGGGAAATTAGGAAGGAAGATTTTGGTTCTTGACAAGCATGCCTGGAGTCATATTAGGTTTTAGGTGACATTTAAACAAGCTGTTGCTTTCAGGTGCCATGAGTGCCAGTGACAGGTTAACTGACTGAGGGTTTGGTGGTAGTTTTATCAGTTTTAGCCAGTGGGGGCTGTATTATGTGAGACTTCGTGCCTAACCATTAACTGGAAAGAGAGTGGTTGTTAAAGTGTAGAACTCCATGTTAACCAAGCTAGAATGTGGACACCTTCCTCTACTTCTTTGCTGTTCTTTTCTCTCATGCATTGCTTTGTGTCTTGCTGTTACCCAGATATACTCTGGGATAACAAATGAGGGCTCCTACGTCTATGTTCCTTCCCAGCAGTAGGCACGTTTCCAATGTGGCAGTAGGCTGCAAAATTAAGCAATACAATTTCCAGCTGGGCTTGTAGTAAAGCCATTTTTGTTTATTGAGTTACACTCTTGCAATCCTCCCCAAAGAGTCAGATCCTCAGCTGGAACGAATCAGGGTAATGGCATTAACATCACCGAGCCACTACTGATGGAGAGAAACTCAGAATGGTTCTGTGCATAATTGTGAAGTGAACACGATGTGAGAATTGACTGGTTTTGCTACATCTAATGAAGCAGTGTAATATATCTCCAGGCCTGCTTTCAGGAAACAACTACTTTCCTTGATGTGTTTACTTTAGTCATTTGTTAGCTTCCTCAGTACAAAATCAAGTGAAGTGAATCTGTGTGCAGCCGTTTGGGCTTGCTTTCCATCTGAGGGATGCCACATTTTCATGGTGGGCAGCAGAGTAATCCATCATTAATTTAAAACCCTTTCTTTCTAGAAATGTGTTTTAACCCACACTGTACACAGACCTAAAATGATGTCATCTCCTGAGTAAAGAGGGGATGTTTTTAGTCTCTATTTTGTAGCTGGTTCCTGTCTTCTTTCTTCAGGAAGGGATGCACAAACAGTTCCTTGAGAAAACTTGAGGAAGCTGAAGTTTCCTTGGAAAACTCTCAAAGTTCCGATCTATCTGATGACTGAAGCTATCAAAAACTATATTGTTCTACATAAAAACAAATTAAAAATGACTTGCAAAATAAAAGAAGCATAATAGCTAGAAAATTTCTTCCCCATCACCAGCACTAATTGTTTGGGGCAGAAATGTCTTTTCCCCCTGTACAGCACCTAGGACAGAGAGTGCTGCTGTCCTGTGCTCTTCTACAGTGGCCTGGTGCTACTGCTGCAAATAGTAGAAGTCAGTTTCTTGCAGATACCTGAGACCATTAAATAAAGCATGCTTTGCACAGGTTTTGACAGTTTTAACTCTCAAAATCCATGCTACTTGTTTTAATCCAAATTCAGATCCCCTACATTCTCATCACAAGAACAAGGGGCAAACAATTAACTGTTAAGCCATTTACTTTTGGTCACAAAAAAATTGTAAATAAATAAGAATTTTTGAATGCTACTGTTTTTGTAAAGAAATCAAATGCTATATAAATCTGTTTTTCTCTTAGCTTGGTGGAAGAACTGAAACACAATAATGCTGATTTTCCTGATGTCAGAAGTGGAATTTATGTACATGAAGTTGTTCCAAACTCACCTTCTCATAGGTATGTAGAGCACATTGTTTTCTTCACCATAAATAAATCTTCAAATAGATACTGGTAGGTAATATTCCTATTTATATTCAAGTACTTTCTCATACCAGTCTTGATTGTATTTAAACAATTAAAAATTATGCCTCTGGGTTAAAAAACCACAAAAATTAAAATGCTTGTGCTAGGATTCTACTCACATCTACAAAATTGGGATAAGACACTTCTAACATTCATTTTAGGAATAATGGCTGAAAGTCTTTTCTATTTCTCCTTTGCTATAATTTTGTGGAAGACAAAGAGAAAGCTAAACAGTTCTTGCTGTTTTAGAAGATCCTCAATGAACTAACACGAGCCAGATTTTGCATTTAGCGAGTACTACCAATTATTCTTTAGTAGTCAGAAGAGTGGAATTCGGAAACTAAAATAAGTAGAAATTTATCACATCAGCCAAAGAGGTGGTGAACAGTCTTTGTACTTTTTCTCTGCATATTTACCGCCTTTTTCTTCTTGCCTTTGCAGAGGAGGGATCCAAGATGGAGATATTATTGTTAAAGTCAATGGGCGTCCTTTGATGACTTCCAGTGACCTGCAAGAGGCTGTGATGAATGAATCACCTCTACTACTTGAAGTTCGAAGAGGGAATGATGACTTGCTATTTAACATTGAGCCTGAAGTTGTTATGTAAATAGAATTGAGGAAGCTCTCACCATAATTAAACTCACTTATTCTGGAACACTAGATACCTCCTTTACAGCTACAGTAATTATACTTCCTGTTGACTAATGACAAGGTGGACTAACTTAATTGCCTGAGCCATTTCTGTACATAGTAGCTAGAATGAATTCAATTGTGCCATTTATAGATTTAACTCCAATGACATTTAAGAACTGTGTTCTGGGGAGGAGAAGGAAAATAAATTTTGGGGAGCTGATAGGAATGAGGTCCACTTCCACTTTCTGCAGGTTCAGAGCAGATCTCCATCTTTTTTGAAAGACCAGAATACTACTGGAAGTGAGGAAGAATGCGGGAAGGGGAAACTATTCTTAAACTCCACTTATGGCTGCAGCAGAACGAAGCTATTGCAATGCACAGTTGAGCTTTTCTCTTTATGTCACTTTTTCAATGTGAACCTAGTATTGGCAAAGCTTGTATTTGTTCTTAGTGCTTCTATGCTACATGTTAATGCAGGTAGATTAAATCTGTAAATATCGGAAAGGAACAAAAATGGTATCAGGCTATAGAGTGTTACACCTAGGTCATGCGATTTTGGAATATAGTAAATGATTCTTATAGAATTAATGCCTTATTATATATAAATCAAATCGATGTGCTGAACAAAGTTAAGTTTGAGAAAGTGCAGAGTTTTTTAAGAATTTGATACAAGTTAGTTTTGCGTTTTACTGGTAAGCTTTGCTGTAAAATTGTTACACTACTTTTGGCTTGTACTTTGTATGTTTCTACTGTAAGGAGAATAAAGTTTACACTAATGATGTGTTGGTGTAAACCTCTTTTTAAGCAAGTATGTCTTTCCTCCCTCTTCTGTCAGACTGGAACAGACTCTCCCAAGAGAAAATTTTCATACAGAAGGTTGAACCCTGATGTTATGGACTCTTTGCAGCTCTATAGCATAATTATTCTGCCTTTATTTAGGCTATGTTTAGAAATGCTTTCACACAAGTAATTTATTTACACTGGGCTTTTTTTTTTTTCATATTCATGAATTGCTTTTGATGTCATTTAGAGAGTATCTAGTTGAAATCCTGTTGTCCTCAATTCTGCCTGTACGTGACAAGAAGCAGAAAGGAAGCACTGTTGAGCCTAGATTACAGCTAGAGCCTGTGAGACTTCTGTGTAATAAACCAGGGACCGAAATTGCTAAGAGCTACATCTGGATCTTCCAGGTATCCTAAACAACACAACTGTCTTCTTTAGTGAATATTGCTACCATTCCCAAAGAGACAAAAAAGTATCTCCATCTGGACAATCTTCTACAGCAAAATGTACTTTCTAGACTTGGTTCTTGTATCTTTGGTTAACTCTTTTTTGCATCAGAGTGTATCTTTGGGGCAGCTAGGACCTTCCCTTTAGGTTGTCATCACATCTAGACTTCTTGGCTATACCAGCTGTCTTGTTTGTGACAAGCCTTGCATCTTTGGGTTTGTACCATGCCAGATGTGGAAAAAAGCAATCTGCTCATTACTTGCTGGCTGGCTGCAACTGCAACTATTCAGTTTTAAGGTGGATGAGGTATATTCCTCCTAAAAGTGAATACTGATTCTTTCCATCGCATTACTGCCTGTAATAGTGGCATGACGCCCATGCTGTCAGTAAAGAAGAGCTGTTTTCACCCCTCCAGCAGAAGATAGTTGTACCTGTTGAGTATTACAGCTCCTTTCTGTTAAGATACCTTAGCACTCAGGCTTGCAAAAAGCATAAGCATGTTCTGAACTTAGGATAGCTGTGGCATGCAGGATACTGTCATGGCTAAAGTCAAGCCTACCCATATGCGTATACCAAGTTAAGACTAACACTGTACAGTTTATGAGGAGTTTGCATCCATTGGCTAATTTTAATCAAAATATTTCCACGAGTTTTCTGCTAGTTTTTCAGCTTTTTGACCAACAGATTGGTAAGAAGACCCACAGAGTGATCAGCTTCTCTCATTGTAAGAAAAGCTTTTTGGCTTCCAGATAACACAGCAGTGATTTTGAGACAAAACAAATAATAACTCTTACTGCAACAGTACTGAATACTGTAAGAGATGTAGCAGTATTAAAAGTGAAACAATACTATGCTGTTGGTGCAGGCCAAGTGCCTTGGCCTCTTAATAGTTACACTGTGTGGAAAGGAGGAAGGCTGTTCCCTTATTCATCAATAACTGTTGCATTCTACCAACAGTTCCGTTTTTCCTCAGCTTTCTCTGAAAATCTGTGGAGCTTGCACATGTAACAGTCTGCAAGTGCCATTTCATTGGAGCAGACTTCACTCTGAGGGAATACAGGTCAAATGAGGTTCTTTTAGAAAGAGAGCATTGTCATTTCCTTTGGCCACAGGAGCGTCTGTGTCAATTCAGCTCTTGTGCGACCCTTAGCTGCTGAAATACCAGTAGACTTCATTATTGCTACTCATCTCCCTGACATCAGCCAGAGCTGCAGAGGTGAATTGCTCTGTCTTAAGATAGAGTCAACATCTACTGATGCCAGCAGTTAACATGCAGTCTATAACACAACCTCACTATCTCTGTTCATTGGCAAAGAGAAAATAAAATGTCAGTAGGTGTCTCTTTAAAACAAAATATTCAGTTGACCTATCTATTATAAGTGATTACTGGCTGTGTCTCTCCCAGGGGGGCAAAAAAGAAGGAACAGAAGTGTGATTTTGATCTCTCAAAGAAACTGAACTGGTAGCTACAGGTTTTCCAAGACAGGGTTGGGCCAACAAGATGAAAGCTTTTGCTATTCAGACTGCAATGGGGATCTATTAGAGCGAGTCCAGAGGAAACCATGAAGATGCTTAGAGGTCTGCAGCACGTCTCCTGTGAAGACAGGCTGAGAGAGTTTGGGTTCTTCAGCCTGGAGAAGAGATGCCCTGGGGAGACCTCAGAGTAGCCTTATAGTTCCTAAAGGGGCCCTACAAGAAAGCCGGAGAGGGACTTTTTACAAGAGCTTATAGTGACAGGACAAGGAGTAATGGCTTTAAACTGGAAAAGAGTAGATTTAGATTTGATATTAGGAAGAAATTTTTTACTAGGTGGGTGGCGAGACACTGGAACAGGTTGCCCAGAGAAGTTGTGGATGCCCCATCCCTAGAAGTGTTCAGGGTTGGATGGGGCTATGAGCAACCTGGTCTAGTGGAAGGTGTCCCTACCCATGGCAGGGGGGTTGGAACTAGATGATCATTTAGGTTCCTTCCAACCCAAACCAATCTGTGCTATTCATTAGTCTGACCCCTCTTTTATTACTATGAATATTTCTAAAGCAACTCTGCAAGGCCTAATCTCTCAGAAAAGAGAGATTGCCAATGACAATATGAAAGACACGAGCATTCCAGGGTGCTTCTGTGGTGCAACCCAGCAAGGTCTGCAGTGGGTGCTGCACAGCTTGGCCAAGCAAACTAACCCTTGCAGGGGAGCTCCCTCTCACTTGCCCTGCTCACTGGTGCCTGCTGTGGGCCTGAGCAAGTTAAAGACAGCTTTCCAGTCTCAACATTTAGTAGAAAACAGGAATGAGATGACACCATGCATAATAAAATACCATTCATAAACAGAGATGGTGGCTGTTAGGAAGACAAGATATGAGTGAAGCAGAAAACAAGAAAGGGAAACAGCACAGAATAACCAGAAAATAATTTTATTCTTAGGAAATACTGTTTTAGAAGAAAAGAAGGTATGTCTATTAGTTTATTTCATGTAGTTAGATGGGCATGACATTGGGCCAGACTGCTGTACTTGTACCACCTGCCAGGTACTTGAAGACCCCTTTCTGCAGGCATGGCATCCTATATTTATGGCTGTACTCTCCCAGCAGCTTGGGATGGGTGACATCCCAAAACACAAATGGCTCTCCCCAGGAGTAACCAGTAATGCAGAGAGAGCCTTTAGACTGTAGTCAACGTGGCACACACCTTGTCGTCTTCCCCATGTACCCCATAGCTGCTCCCATGGCTAATTATTTGTGGCTATCTGCTCCCCCACCACACGAGTGCTCTATCACACTTGTACCTCTGATATCACTTTAAAAAATCTGATGTTACTTGAAAAAGAGACACTTTTTATTTGCAAGTAAGTTAAGACAAGGGAATTCCTTCCCTTATAGGGGTTTCTTTAGCTCTGTTAAGGTTTGGACATGACAAGAGAAGTGCATGAGTCTTGAGGCTTGCCTGCGTGTAAAAGCAACACGGAGCTCTCTCATGGTCCAGCAGTCATATGTACTGCAGCTTCAGGAATTTTGGCCTGAAAAGGTTTGAAAAGGCAGCAGAAATCTGCATTACTGAGGAGCAGTGCACAGCAGCTCTTCTGCTTAACCTGTTCTCAGCTTGTTGTTCTGTGTTCTGTACGAGCTACTCTGCACAACAAACACCAACCAGTAGTCCCTCCTTTCTTACATCTCTCATGACTGCTGCTGCACCAGCTATTCTCTGCAAAGTTCTTCCACGTGGCTCCTTCTACAGGGGTTATTTGGCACTTGTGCATTTTGCCCTCTGCAGCAGCTGCTCTGTTTGCTCTTTACTGGTTTTGCACCAGCTATTCCATACCACCATATACCCCAGACAGCGGTCTCACGCTCTTTTGATTTTGTTTTGACTGCTTGTTTCTTGCTTGAGGCTTTGTTGGTTTAGCAGAAATCTGGAAGAAAGGGGGATTTTCTTTTTTTTTCCTAAGCTCTGAAGTCTGGAGTGCTGCATAATATGAGGGCAGTGGGTTGATGAAAAGTTTACTTAACCACAAGACACTGCAGGATAAAGAAGGTGATGCTGCCTCTGTTTAGGCACCACCAGCCAGACACTGCTCTTCAAAGACATGCAAGGTTAAGCGTTTCCCCCAGAGGAGGTCTGTATGGATAGTATGGGTATGCTTTCTGTACCCACATACAGCACTAAAGTCTGAGGGTTGCTTTGAAGTAGGAGGAAGACTTAAAAAGGGAAGGGAAAGGGGGTGTAGCATGTTTATTTTATTTTATTCCCCTTATTTACTTGGGTTTCTGTAGTCTTCATTTAACTGGACGTGCCTGGGGAACATATCCAGGTCTGTGTTTATTCTGATCCCTCTTCCCACAGTAGCAGATTATTTTTGCAACTTTGGTGTTCTGCACATAGTGGATTTGGTCTTTTATCCAGACCTTCCCAGTTATGTGGGGCTTTGCTGTAGAAGAACTTTCCTGGTGATGCCATGGGCTGTAAACTGAGGCAGAAAGAAGAACCACCAGTTAAGGCAGAGCTGCTTAGAAGATCTTGCTGGCTGGTCCAATTCTCTATCTTCTGGCAAACACAAGAGGCAATGTAATATTGCATATTCCTAATAAAATATGCACAACAGTATATTCACTAGCAGTGAATTAATGCTTGGGGAGCACAGAGCGTGGACACAGGAGCAGAGCTTCAGGCTGCAACAGTAACAAAAAAAAATAAAAGAGGAAAAATATATTTATTTATTCTCTTTTGATTTTTGTCCTCCGGGAAGAAAGGTCAGACAGAGCAGGTCTCCCCCCATCCACCCTTCCTCTTCCCTTCCTTTTCTGTCTAAAAGCTCCCCCAGAGACTGTGAGAATGTCAATGTTAAACAGCATTTTCCCCATAAAGATCTCTGGAGAATAACAGAAGCAAGTGTGTGCTCTTTCTTTCTTCAACAAACACTGGCCAGGCCTCCCCAAACAGCCAACTGAGGCATAGTCAGGAAAAAACAAGTTCTTAGAGGAAGCGGTCGCCAAGGAAAATAATTGGGCAGCATGAGGGGTTTGGTGACGCAGCTGCACAGCTGCTAAGTTCAATGACTTCTCGATTGC